TATATATATTTTTTTTTCTTATATATATACAGTAAATGTCGTAGAAGCATTGCAAGAATTTTGGCAGATGAAACAAGCTAGAGGAACAGAATTGAGAAATGGTGCATTAGTTATTTATGAATCTGTTCCTGGTGCCAATCCACCTTACGTTTGTTATGTAACACTTCCTGGAGGATCGTGTTTTGGGAGTTTTCAAAATTGTCCCACAAAGGCGGAAGCACGTAGATCGGCTGCAAAAATTGCACTGATGAATTCTGTATTCAATGAACATCCATCGCGAAAAATTACTGACGATTTTATTGAAAAAGCTGTTGCAGAGGCAAGGGCTAGTTTTGCCAAACCTTCAGCAACGTCCAATGGAGTTGGTAGCCAAGCACAAGTAAATAAAATATGAAAAGTTATTTATTATTACATTAAATTAGGAACAATGCTTAAATGCATATATGCTTTCAGGGAAGCAGTGATGAGAAAGAAGATCCAAATACAGGTATAGGTGCGTTCCGTTTTATGTTGGAATGCAATCGTGGAAGAACAATGTTGGAATTCCAAGAGTTAATGACAGTCTTTCAATTGCTTCATTGGAATGGCTCTTTAAAAGCCATGAGAGAGAGGCAGTGCAGCAGGCAGGAAGTAGTCGCGCATTATAGTCATCGGGCATTAGATGACGATATGCGTAGCCAAATGGCATTAGACTGGGTTGCTAGAGAACACGAAAGTGGTGGTGGGATCGTGGCAATGGAATTGGCCTTAGCTGAGCGTGAACTTGAAACTGCGCGATTAGCGGGACGAGAACTTAGATTTCCAAAAGAAAAGAAAGATATACTGATGCTTGCACATGCGCAGGTTTGTCCGCAGTAAATTCTAACGTGAACGTCACTAAAATAAATAATGTACAAGACTGGTCTTTTGCAAGGAATAAGTTTTGAAAAAAAAGACAAAAAATTTTTTTTTTTAGATTACTTTAAAGATCGTTTTACTTAATTCTTTTTAGAGCTTAACTTTATGACAATGAAAACAACTTCCGTCCTTTTTATAAAGCGTATCTTTTCATAGAGTTTTTTTTTATAAAGCATTTCTGGTGATAATAGATCTTAAATGGGATATTTTGATTATATAGGATTACTAAGTATATATAAATATCATCATTAAGCATCATAAAGATATACTGTGTGCACACAATATAGAACACTCGCATTTTTATATATTACATTTTACTTGTATGTGTATATATTTTGGGACGCAAGGCTTTGTCTTCCATTATCTTATATTTCGTAAGATTTCTGCTTAATCATCAGAGTACAATTCAATAAGTTCGACAGATATAATTTCGCAATGTATTTGGAATTGAAAAAGAGTATGAAATGTATGTGTGCGCGTGTGATATTCACAA